CAGGTGTGTCTCACCTTGATGAAGGCGTATCCCGCCCAGCAGCTTCTCCATGTCCACCTGGGGCGTGTTCAGCGTGCAGAACAGCACCTGGGGACAGCGGGGACAGCACCTGGGGACAGGGACACTGGGGACAGCAGCTGGGGTAACACCTGGGGACATTGGGGACACGGGGACATTGTCTGGGGACACGGGGACATTGTCTGTCCCAGCCCGATCTGCCCCCCCAGCAGCTTCTCCATGTCCACCTGCGGCGTGTTCAGCGTGCAGAACAGCACCTGGGGACAGCGGGGACATCACCTGGGGCAGGGGACACTGGGGACAGCACCTGGGACACTGGGGTAACACCTGGGGACAGTGGGGACACTGGGGTAACACCTGGGGACAGCAGGGACATCACCTGGGGCAGGGGACACTGGGGACAGCACCTGGGACACTGGGGTAACACCTGGGGACACGGGGACATTGTCTGGGGACAAACCCCCAGCCTGATCTGCCCCCCCAGCAGCTTCTCCATGTCCACCTGAGGGGTGTTCAGCGTGCAGAACAGCACCTGGGGACAGCGGGGACATCACCTGGGGACAGGGACACTGGGACACTGTCTGGGGACACGGGACATCACCCGGGGGGACAGGGGACAGCCCCTGGGGACACTGAGTACGGGGCACATGGTGTGTTCAGTGTGGCATCCCAGTCTCGCCTCATCCATTCCCAGTCCCTCCCAGTCCATCCCAGTATAACCCAGTATAACCCAGTATAACCCAGTATAACCCAGTATAACCCAGTCCATCCCAGTATAACCCAGCCCGTTCCCAGTATAACCCAGTATAACCCAGTATAACCCAGTATAACCCAGTCCATCCCAGTATAACCCAGTCTCGCCTAATCTATTTCCAGTATAACCCAGTATATAACCCAGCCCATTCCCAGTATAACCCAGTATATCCCAGTATACCCAGTATATCCCAGTCTCACCTCGCTGGGGGGGATGCCGAAGGCCTCCCCGATCTTGCCGTACAGCTCCCGCACGTTCCCGAAGCCCATCCCAGTATATCCCAGTATAACCCAGTATAACTCAGTCTATCTCAATCCCAGTATAACCCAGTATAACCCAGTAACGGGGTTTAGAGATTAAAGGGGCGGGGCTCAGATACCAAAGGGGGCGTGGTTTAAGCCCCAAAGGGGCGGGGCTAAGACACGAAAGGGGCGGGAACGGAGCCGGGTGGATTGGGGGCGGGGCCACACACCTGTCACTCATGGGGCTCCCCCGGGGGCGTTTTGGGCTCAATCCCGAAGGTTTTGGGGCAAATTTTGGGGATTTCTGGGATTTGGGAACTCCAGGAGTTTTTGGGGTCAATCCTGAAGGTTTTGGGGTCGATCTCAGGGCGGGAACTCCAGGAGGGTTTGGGGTCAATCCCGAGGGTTTTGGGGCCGATCTCGGGAACTTTGGGGGTCACAGAAATTTTGGGGTGAATTTCTGATGCTTTGGGGCCAATTTCTGGGATTTTGGAATTTCCAGGAGTTTTTGGGGTCAATCCTGAAGATTTTGGGGTCGATCTCGGGGATTTTGGGGTCACGGAAATGTTGGGGTGAATTTCTGAGGCTTTGGGGTCAGTTTCTGGGATTTGGGGTTTTCCGGGAGGGTTTGGGGTCAATCCCAAAGATTTTGGGGCAAATTTCTGGGATTTGGGGATTCCAGGAGGTTTTGGGGTGAATTTCTGAGATTTTGGGGCCAATTTTGGGGATGTGAGAACTCCAGGAGGTTTTGGGGTGAATCCTTTAGGTTTTGGGGCCGATCTCGGGGATTTTGGGGTCACAGAAATTTTGGGGTGAATTTCTGAGGTTTTGGGACCAATTTCTGGGATTTGGGAATTCCAGGAGGTTTTGGGGCAAATCCAAAAGATTTCGGGGCCAATTTTTGGGATTTGAGAACTGCAGGAGATTTTGGGGTGAATCCTTTAGGTTTCGGGGCCGATCTCGGGGATTTTGGGGTCACAGAAATTTTGGGGTGAATTTCTGAGGTTTTGGGGCCAATCTCAGGGATTTCGGAATTTCCAGGAAGTTTTGGGGTCAATCCCAAAGGTTTTGGGGCCAATTTCTGGGATTTTAGAATTTCCAGGAGTTTTTGGGGTCAATCCCAAAGGTTTTGGGGCAAATTTCTGGGATTTGGGAATTCCAGGAGTTTTTGGGGTCAATCCCGAAGATTTTGGGGTCGATCTCGGGGCTTTTGGGGTCACGGAAATGTTGGGGTGAATTTCTGAGGCTTTGGGGTCAGAGTCAGGGATTTGGGGTTTCCACGTCACTTTGGGGTGAATTTCAGGGATTTCTGGGTCCCACGAGACACTTTTGGGGTAAACCCCAATTTTTTGGGGCCAATCTCCGAGATTTTGGGGCTCTGGGTTATTTTGGGGCAAAATCTGGGGTTTGGGGGGCCCAGAAGGTTTTTGGTGGGGGGAAAATTCCAGAGGATTTTGGGGCAAATTCCTGAGGATTTTGGGGTGAATTTCCCGAGGATTTTTGGGGTGAATTCCCGAGGATTTTGGGGTGAATTCCCGAGGATTTTGGGGCGAATTCCAGACGATTTTTGGGGTAAATTTCAGAGGAATTTGGGGTCAAATCCCAGAGGACTTTTTGGCAAATTCCAGAAGATTTTGGGGCGAATTCCCAAGGATTTTTGGGCAAATTCCTGAGGATTTTGGGGTGAATTCTCAAAGGATTTTTGTGACAAATTCCCAAAGATTTTGGGGTGAATTCCCAGACAGTTTTTGGGGCAAATTTCAGAGGAATTTGGGGTAAAATCCTAGAGGACTTTTTGGCAAATTCCAGAAGATTTTGGGGCAAATTCCTGAGGATTTTTGGGGTGAATTCCCGAGGATTTTGGGGTGAATTTCCAGAGGATTTTTGTGACAAATTCCCAAAGATTTTGGGGCAAATTCCAGATGATTTTTGGGGTGAACTGAGGATTTTGGGGTGAATTCCTGAGGATTTTGGGGTGAATTTCCAGAGGATTTTTGGGCAAATTCCTGAGGATTTTGGGGTGAATTCCTGAGGATTTTGGGGTGAATTTCCAGAGGATTTTTGGGGCAAATTCCCGAGGATTTTTGGGGTGAATTCCTGAGGATTTTTGGGGTGAATTCCCAAGGATTTTGGGGCAAATTCCAGATGATTTTTGGGGTGAACTGCTGAGAATTTTGGAGGAAATCCCTGAGGATTTTGGGGTGAATTCCCGAGGATTTTGGGGTGAATTTCTGAGGATTTTGGGGTGAATTCCCGAGGATTTTGGGATGAACTCCCGGGGAATTTTGGGGTGAATTCCCGAAGATTTTGGGGGCAAATTCCCAAAGATTTTGAGGTGAACTCCCAAGGGTTTTTGGGGCGAATTCCCGAGGATTTGGGGATGGCTCGGGGGGATCTGGGGGTCCCGGCCGCCATTTCTGGGGTCAATCCAAATAATTTTGGGGTCGATCCGAGGCTTTTTGGGATCCTGTATTTCTGTACAGCGGGGGAGGGGCGCAGGGGGGGTCCCCACAATTGTCCCGGTCCGGGATCTGTCCAGGGATCCTTTTGGGATCCGGGATCCGCCCAGGGATCCTTTTGGGATCCGGGATCTGCCCAGGGATCCTTTTGGGATCCAGGATCTGCCCGGGGATCCTTTTGGGATCCGGGATCTGCCCGGGGGGTCCAGGATCCATTTGTGGGGTCCAAGAGGATCCAGGATCCATTTGGGATCTGCCCGGGGGTTCCAGAGGGATCCAGGATCCGTCCAGGGATCCAGAGGGGTTCGGGATCCGTTCAGGGGCTCTGGGATCCATCCGAGGGGTTCGGGATCCCTTCTGGAGGTCCAGGATCCATTTGGGGGGTCCAGGATCCGTTCTGGGGGTCCAGGGGGGATCCGGGATCCATCCAGGACAGGTTCAGAGTCCGGGATCCATCTGGGAGATCCGGAGAGGCCCAGGATCCATTTGAGGGATCTGGGATCCATCCAGAGAGGTCCAGGGGGAGCTGGAATCCATCCAGGGAGTCCAGAGAGGTTCAGGATCCATTTGAGGGGTCTCGGATCCATCCAAAGGGTCCAGAGAGGTCCATGGTCCATTTTGGGGGGATCTGGGATCCATCCAGAGCTCCAGGAGGATCCAGGATCCATCCAGGGAGATCCAGAGAGGCCCAGGATCCTCCGGAGAGGCCCAGGATCCATTTGAGGGATCTGGGATCCATCCAGAGAGGTCCAGGGGGAGCTGGAATCCATCCAGGGAGTCCAGAGAGGTTCAGGATCCATTTGAGGGGTCTCGGATCCATCCAAAGGGTCCAGAGAGGTCCATGGTCCATTTTGGGGGGATCTGGGATCCATCCAGAGCTCCAGGGGGATCCAGGATCCATCCAGGGAGATCCAGAGAGGCCCAGGATCCATTTGAAGAGTCTGGGATCCATTTGAGGGATCTGGGATCCATCCAGAGAGGTCCAGGGGGATCTGGAATCCATCCAGGGAGTCCAGAGAGGTTCAGGGTCTATTTGGGGATCTGGGATCCATCCAGAGAGTCCAGGGGGATCCAGGATCCATTTGGGGGGGATCTGGAATCCATCCAGAGGCCCAGGATCCATTTGGGGGGGTCCAGGACCCATCCAGGGAGTCCAGGATCCATCTGGAGTGTCCAGGGTCCATTTGGGGATCTGGGATCCACCCAGGGGGCTCCGTGACCAATTTGGGGGCTCCGGGATCTGTCCAGGAGGGGGCTCAGAGCCCAGGATCCATTTGGGGGGTCCAGGATCCATTTGGGGGTCCGGGATCCATTTGGGGGGTCCGGGATCCATTTGGGGGTCCGGGGTCCATCCGGGGGTGTCCAGGGGGATCCGGTCACGTCCTTGGGGGTCCCACAGCAGCCAGGGGGGAGCCGGGCTGGGATCCACAGCCGGGACCGGCCGTGTCCGGTGTCCCTGTCCCTGTCCCTGTCCCTGTCCCTGTCCCCAGCTGTGGCCTGGGATCTGTCCTGTCCCCGTGTCCGGCTGTGTCCCAGCACCGTCCCTGTCCCTGTCCTGGAATTGTCCCTGTCCCAGTGCCCAGCACTGTCCCTGTCCCTGTCCCTGTATCTGTCCCTGTCCCATCATGCAGTTGTGTCCTGGGATCTGTCCCTGTCCTGGAATTGTCCCTGTCCCAGTGTCCACCGCTGTCCTGGAAGTGTCCCTGTCCCTGTCCCTGTCCCTGTCCCTGTCCCTGTCCCTGTCCCTGTCCCTGTCCCTGTCCCTGTCCCTGTCCCTGTCCCTGTCCCCAGCTGTGTCTCGGGATCTGTCCCTGTCCCAGTGTCCGGCCATGTCCTGGGATCTGTCTGTGTCCAGTGTCCGGCTGTGTCCAGCACTGTCCCTGTCCCTGTCCCACTGTCTGGCTGTGACCTGGGATCCAGCCGTGTCCAGAGTCCAGCAGTGTCCTGGGATCTGTCCCTGTCCCTGTGTCCCTGTGTCCCTGTCCCGGGCTCTGTCCGTGTCCAGTGTCTGGCTGTGTCCAGAGCTGTCCCTGTCCCAGGATCTGTCCCTGTCCCTGTGTCCCTGTCCCTGTCCCAGGATCTGTCCCTGTCCCTGTCTGGGTTCTGGCCATGTCCAGGGGTGCCCTGGGATTGTCCCCAACCCCATCCCTGTCCCAGGGGTGTCCCTGTCCCTGTCCCTGTCCCTGTCCCTGCCCCAGGTCTGTCCCTGTCCCTGTCCTGGGTGTGTCACCGTCCCTGTCCCAGGTGTGTCCCTGTCCCTGTCCCGGGTGTGTCCCTGTCCCTGTCCCAGGTGTGTCACCGTCCTGGCATCTGTCCCCATTCCTGTCCCAGGTGTGTCCCCAACCCAGGACCCAACGGTGTCCCAGATCCAGCTGTGCCCTGGGATTGTCCCTGTGCCAGGTGTGTCCCTGTGCCAGGTGTGTCCCTGTCCCTCTGCCAGGTGTGTCCCCATCCTTGTCCTCGTCCCTGTCCCAGGTGTGTCCCTGTCCCTCTGCCAGGTGTGGCCCAGTGCCAGGTGTGTCCCCATCCTGGGATTGTCCCTGTGCCAGGTGTGTCCCCATCCTTGTCCTCGTCCCTGTCCCCATCCTGGGATCCATCCCTGTCCCTGTCCCCCGTCCCCTGTCCCTGTCCCTGTCCCTGTCCCTGTCCCGGGATCTCTCCATGCTCAGGATCAGCCAGGCCAGGACTGTCCCACGGTGTCCCCTGAATGTCCCTTGGTGTCCCACGGTGTCCCCTGAATGTCCCTCAGTGTCCCCTGAATGTCCCTCGAATGTCCCTTAGTGTCCCCCGGTGTCCCCTGAATGTCCCTCAGTGTCCCCTGAATGTCCCTCGGTGTCCCCTGAATGTCCCTCGGTGTCCCCCGGTGTCCCTCGGGTGTCACAGGTGTCCCCAGAGTACCACAGCGACTCGGGATGTCCCCAGGTGCCACAGCACCCACAGGTGTCCCACTGTCCCCTGGCCTGTCCCCAGTGTCTCTGTGGGTCCCTGGGTGTCACCTCGGGCTGTCCCCAGTGTCCCCAATGTCCCCGTGGGTCACAGTGCCATGGGTGGCACCTCAGGCTCAGTGTCACTGCTGTCCCCAGTGTCCCCTGTTGGTCACGGTGCCACCGGTGCCACCTCAGGCTCCGTGTCACTGCTGTCCCCAGTGTCCCCAAGGTCCCTGATGTCCCCAGGGTCCTCTGTCAGTCATGGTGCTGTTGGTGCCACCTCAGGCTCAGTGTCACTGCTGTCCCCAGTGTCCCCAAGGTCCCTGATGTCCCCAGTGTCCCCTGTTGGTCACGGTGCCACCTCTGGATCGCTGTTGCTGCTGTCCCCAATGTCCCCAAGGTCTCCAATGTCCCTGATGTCCCCTCCGGTCACGGTGCCATGGGTGCCACCTTGGGCTCGCTGTCCCCAATGTCCCCGATGTCCCCAGTGTCCCTGATGTCCCCTCAGGTCACGGTGCCATCGGTGCCACCTCCGCCGGGCTGTCACTGCTGTCACTGCTGTCCCCAATGTCCCCTGTGGGTCACGGTGCCGTGGGTGCCACCTCGGGCTGTCCCCGGTGTCCCATGTCCCCTGTGCTGTTGGTGCCACCTCGGGTGTCCCCTCAGGTTACAGTGCCATCAGTGCCACCTCGGGCTGTCCCCGGTGTCCCCAGCGGGTCACGGTGCCGTGGGTGCCACCTCAGGCTGTCCCCGGTGTCCCCAGCGGGTCACGGTGCCGTGGGTGCCACCTCGGGCTCGCTGTCGCTGCTGTCCCCAGTGTCCCCGGTGTCCCCCGGGGCCAGCGCGAAGGGCGGGGGCAGCTCCTCGTCCGAGGAGCCCAGCGAGTCCTCGTCCCCCAGGCGTGTCCCCAAGGCCACCGCGCCGAAGGACAGCGGCCCCCGCAGCAGCCGGACCTGGGGCAGGGACAGGGACACCGAGGGGACAGGGACAGGGACAGGGACAACAGAGACAGAGACGGGACAGTGAGGGACAGGGACAGGGGACAGCAGGGACAGGGACAGGGGACACAGAGGGGACAGAGAGGGGACAGGGAGAGGACAGAGAGGGCACAGCAGGGAACAAGAGGGACAAGGACAGAGAGGGGACAGTGAGAGACAGCCAGGGGACAGGACAGGGACAGGGACAGGGACAGGAGGGGACAAAGCCAACAGAGCAGGGCAGGAGGGAGGACACAGGCCGACCACGCTGTCACCAGCTGTCCCCAGGCCGCGTGGCACCGAGGGGACATCGCCGGGTGCCATCCAGGTGTCCCCAACTCCTGCCCCCTTCCCCAGCCCCCGTGGATGTCACCTGGGTGTCCCCTGTGTCCCCAACCCCCGTGGATGTCACGTGTCCCACCTCGGCCTTGAGCCGGTGGATGTGGCCCTGCAGGTGCCGGATGTACTGCACCCCCCGTGTCCCCAGTGTCCCCAGTGATGTCCCCGTGTCCCCCCTCGGCCTTGAGCCGGTGGATGTGGCCCTGCAGGTGCCGGATGTACTGCACCCCCCGTGTCCCCAGTGTCCCCAGTGATGTCCCCGTGTCCCCCCTCGGCCTTGAGCCGGTGGATGTGGCCCTGCAGGTGCCGGATGTACTGCACCCCCCGTGTCCCCAGTGTCCCCAGTGATGTCCCCGTGTCCCCCCTCGGCCTTGAGCCGGTGGATGTGGCCCTGCAGGTGCCGGATGTACTGCACCCCCCGTGTCCCCAGTGTCCCCAGTGATGTCCCCGTGTCCCCCCTCGGCCTTGAGCCGGTGGATGTGGCCCTGCAGGTGCCGGATGTACCGCGCCGTGTCCCCAATGTCCTCATGTCCCCAGTGATGTCCCCGTGTCCCCAGTGATGTCCCCGTGTCCCCACCTCAGCCTTGAGCCGCCGGATGTGGCCCTGCAGGTGCCGGATGTACTGAACCCCCCGTGTCCCCAGTGTCCCAGTGTCCCCAGTGATGTCCCCAGTGATGTCCCCAATGTCCCACCTCAGCCTTGAGCCGGCGGATGTGGCCCTGCAGGTGCCGGATGTACCGCGCCGTGTCCGAGTGCTCCAGCTGGCCCTGCAGCCGCCCCTCCTCCCGCTGGGACACCGGGGGACACCAGGGGACACTGAGGGGACACGGCGGCCACCTGGCCCCTCCGGTGTCCCCAGTGTCCCTCCTGTCCCCTCCATGTCCCCCCAATGCCTCCCTGTGTCCCCTCCATGTCCCCAAATCCCCCATGCCCTCCATGTCCCCTGATGTCCCCCTGTCCCCTCCGTGTCCCCATGTCCCCCCCAATGTCCCCTCCATGTCCCTCCAATGTCCCTTCCAGGCCTCCGTGTCCCCTCCACGTCCCCATGTCCCTGATGTCCCCATGTCCCCTCCATGTCCCCACATCCCTGATGTCCCCCATGCCCTCCATGTCCCCTGATGTCCGCCTGTCCCCTCAATGTCCCCATGTCCCCTCCAATGTCCCCAAAATGTCCCTTCCATGCCTCCCTCTGTCCCCTCCATGTCCCCACGTCCCCAAATCCCCCATCCCCTCAATGTCCCCTCCGTGTCCCCATCCCCATGTCCACAGCATCCCCATGTCCCCATCCCTCCATGTCCCCGATGTCCCCTCCATGTCCCCAACATCCCCATGTCCCTGATGTCCCCTCCGTGTCCCCATCCCCATGTCCACAGCATCCCCATGTCCCCATCCCTCCATGTCCCCGATGTCCCCTCCATGTCCCCAACATCCCCATGTCCCTGATGTCCCCTCCGTGTCCCCATCCCCATGTCCCCAACATCCCCATGTCCCCCATCCCTCCATGTCCCCAATGTCCCCCTGATGTCCCCATTGTCCCCAAGGTCCCCCATCCCCTTCATGTCCTCAATATCCCCAATGTCCCTCATGTCCCCCCAGTGTCCCCAAGGTCCCCCATCTCCTTCGTGTCCCCGATGTCCCCGATGTCCCCATGTCCCTCCAGTGTCCCTGATGTCCCCATCCCCTCCTTGTCCCCAATGTCCCCGATGTCCCCTGTGTCCCCGATGTCCCCACATCCCCCGTTGTTCCCATGTCCCCCATCCCCTCTATGTCCTCGATGTCCCCACGCCCCCGATGTCCCAATGTCCCCAGGGTCCCCCATGTCCCCCCAGTGTCCCCAATGTCCCTGATGCTCTCGATGTCCCCGATGTCCCCAATGTCCCTGGATGCCCTCCATCCCCTCAATGTCCCTGATGTCCCCATGTCCCCCAACCCCTCCATGTCCCCATGCCCTCGATGTCCCCAATGTCCCCAACACCCGCAATGTCCCTGGTGTCCCCAATGTCCCTGATGTCCCCATGTCCCACATATCCCCCCAATGTTCCCGTGTCCCAATGTCCCCAATGTCCCTCATGTACCCCTGATGTCCCCAATGTCCCCCATCTGCCCAATGTCTCCAGTGTCCCCATGTCCCCCTGATGTCCCCAGTGTCCCAATGTCCCCAGTATCCCCCATCCCCTCTATGTCCCCAATGTCCCCACATCTCCAATATCCCAATGTCCCCAGGGTCCCCCACGTCCCCCCGATGTCCCTGATGTCCCCAATGTCCCCGATGTCCCCATGTCCCCTGGGTCCCCAATGTCCCCACCACCCCGATGTCCCCCATATGCCCCTGATGTCCCCTTATCCCAATGTCCCCAGGGTCCCTCAATGTCCCCATCTCTGCCCACATCCCCATGTCCCTCATGCCCCCATGTCCCCAACGTCCCCATGTCCCCCCAGTGTCCCCGATGTCCCCACGTCCCCCCGTGTCCCCAGTGTCCCCTGATGTCCCCCGTGCCCCCATGTCCCCCCACACCCAGGGACACCCGGGGACAGCCGGGGACACCCAGGGACAGCCCTGGGACAGCCCCAGGGACACCCAGGGACACCCAGGGACACCCGGGGACACCCGGGGACAGCCCCAGGGACAGCCCTGGGGACACCCGGGGACAGCCCCAGGGACAGCCAGGGACACGAAGGGACACCGTGGGGGACACCCCAGGGACACCCTGGGACAGCCCTGGGACAGCCCCAGGGACACCCAGGGACAGCCCCAGGGACAGCCCTGGAACAGCCCCAGGGACACTGGGGGGACACCCAGGGACACCCAGGGACAGCCCTGGGACACCCAGGGACAGCCCTGGCCATGCTGTCGGCCTCGCGCAGCCGCACGGCCATCACCTCCTCCTTGCTCTGGGGACAGCGCTGTCACCGTGGGGACACCGCGACACCCAGGGACAGCCCTGGGACAGCCCCAGGGACACCCAGGGACAGCCCCAGGGACAGCCCTGGAACAGCCCCAGGGACACTGGGGGGACACCCCAGGGCCACCACAGGGACACTTGGGGACACCCGGGGACACCCCAGGGACACCCTGGGGACAGCCACGGGACACTTCAGGGGCACTGGGGACATCCCCGTGTGCATCCCCAATGTCCCCAGTGTCCCCAATGTCCCCTGTCCCAAATCCCCCCAATGCCCTCAATGTCCCCAATGCCCCTCATGTCCCCAGCTGTCCCCAACATCCCCGATGATGTCCTTGATGGTGTCCCCAGTGTCCCCATGTCCCGATGCCCCCAATACTCCCAATGTCCCCAATGTCCCAATGTCCCCCGTGACAGCGGGGACAGCCCGGGGACACCCAGGGACACCCGGGGACACCCTGGGGACACCAGGACACCCAAGGACACCCTGGGGAACACTGGGGGGACACCCGGGGACACCCGGGGACACCCGGGGACAGCCCTGGGGACACCCGGGGACAGCCCCAGGGACACTGGGGGGACACCCCAGGGCCACCACAGGGACACTTGGGGACACCCGGGGACACCCCAGGGCCACCACAGGGACACTTGGGGACACCCGGGGACACCCCAGGGCCACCACAGGGACACTTGGGGACACCCGGGGACACCCCAGGGCCACCACAGGGACACTTGGGGACACCCGGGGACACCCCAGGGCCACCACAGGGACACTTGGGGACACCCGGGGACACCCCAGGGCCACCACAGGGACACTTGGGGACACCCGGGGACACCCCAGGGCCACCACAGGGACACTTGGGGACACCCGGGGACACCCCAGGGCCACCACAGGGACACTTGGGGACACCCGGGGACACCCAGGGACACCCAGGGGACACTTCAGGGGCACTGGGGACATCCCCGTGTGCATCCCCAATGTCCCCAGTGTCCCCAATGTCCCCTGTCCCAAATCCCCCCAATGCCCTCAATGTCCCCAATGCCCCTCATGTCCCCAGCTGTCCCCAACATCCCCGATGATGTCCTTGATGGTGTCCCCAGTGTCCCCATGTCCCGATGCCCCCAATACTCCCAATGTCCCCAATGTCCCAATGTCCCCAGTCTCTCCAAGTGTCCGCAATATCTCCAATGTCCCCAACATGCCCAACGTCCCCAATGTCCCAATGTCCCCGGTCTCTCCAAGTGTCCCCAATATCTCCAATGTCCCCAACATGCCCAACGTCCCCAACGTCCCCAGTGATGTCCCCAATGCTGCCCTGTGTCCCCAGAGCTGTCTCCACTGTCCCCGATGACGTCCCCAATGATGTCCCCATTGTCCCCAATGTCTCAAGTGATGTACCCAGAGCTGTCCCCAATGCTGTCCCCAGTGTCCTCAGAGCTGTCCCCCTGCCCCGTGTCCCCAGAGCTGTCTCCAGTGTCCCCGATGACGTCCCCAATGATGTCCCCATTGTCCCCAATGTCTCAAGTGATGTACCCAGAGCTGTCCCCAATGCTGTCCCCAGTGTCCTCAGAGCTGTCCCCATTGTCCCCAGTGATGTCCCTGATGCTGTCCCCAGTGTCCCCATTGCTGTCCCCATTGTCCCTGCTGTCTCTGTTGCTGTCCCCATTGTCCCCGCTGCTGTCCCCGTTGCTGTCCCCTCTGTCCCCATTGTCCCTGATGCTGTCCCCATTGACCCCACTGTCCACAGTGTCCTCATTGTCCCCTCTGTCCCCATTGCTGTCCCCACTGCTGTCCCCATTATCCCTGATGTCCCCACTGTCCCCGTTGCTGTCCCCATTGTCCCGTTGCTGTCCCCAGTGTCCCCCGTGTCCCCAGTGTCCCCGTTGCTGTCCCCATTGCTGTCCCCATTGTCCCCATTGCTGTCCCCATTGTCCCTGTTGCTGTCCCCAGTGTCCCCAGTGTCCCCGTTGCTGTCCCCATTGCTGTCCCCTTTGCTGTCCCCATTATCCCCGATGTCCCCAGTGTCCCCAGTGTCCCCGTTGCTGTCCCCAGTGTCCCCAATGCTGTCCCCGTTGCTGTCCCCCGTGTCCCCATTGTCCCCGTTGCTGTCCCCGTTGCTGTCCCCAGTGTCCCCAGTGTCCCCGTTGCTGTCCCCAGTGTCCCCCGTGTCCCCGTCTCCCCGCTGCTGTCCCCGTTGCTGTCCCCTCTGTCCCCATTGTCCCTGATGCTGTCCCCATTGACCCCACTGTCCACAGTGTCCTCATTGTCCCCTCTGTCCCCATTGCTGTCCCCACTGCTGTCCCCATTATCCCTGATGTCCCCACTGTCCCCGTTGCTGTCCCCATTGTCCCGTTGCTGTCCCCCGTGTCCCCCGTGTCCCCAGTGTCCCCCGTGTCCCCCGTGTCCCCAGTGTCCCCCGTGTCCCCAGTGTCCCCGTGTCACCTTGCACTGTGCCTCGTGGTGTTTGCGGTGGCTCTCGCTGAGCTGCGCCTGCAGCCCCTGGCTCTGCGCGGCCGCGGCGCGGAGCTGCTCCCGCAGCCCGGCGCAGGCCTGCTCGGCACGGCGTAACACCGACTGCTGGATCCGGCCCTAAACCGGGACAGACCCGGGACAGACCTGGGATAAACCTGGGATAGACCCGGGATTAACCCGGCCCAAAGGCAGCCCTGCTCCCGCAGCCCGGCGCAGGCCTGCTCGGCACGGCGCAGGACGGACTGCTGGATCCGGCCCTAAACTGGGACAGACCCGGGATTAACCCGGGATAAACTCAGATAAACCTGGGATTGATCCGGGATTAACCCGGCCCAAAGGCAGCCCTGCTCCCGCAGCCCGGCGCAGGCCTGCTCGGCACGGCGTAACACCGACTGCTGGATCCGGCCCTAAACCGGGACAGACCCGGGACAGACCCGGGATTAACCCGGGATTAACCTGGAATTAACCCTGCTCCCTGCTCTCCCAGTGCTCCCAGTTCAGTTCCCAGTATCCAGAGTTCCCTCCCAGTCCCTCCCAGTGCTCCCAGTCCATCCCAGTGCTCCCAGTAGCTCACCTGTGTCTCCAGGTGCAGCACTCCCTGTCTCAGCCCCATTCCCAGTCCCTCCCATCCCTCCCAGTTCAATCCCAGTAGCTCACCTGTGTCTCCAGGTGCAGCACTCTCTGCCGCAGCGCTCTCAGCTCCGCCTGGGCCTGGCTCTCGCGGAGCTGCGCCCCCAGCACGGCCCCGTGCAGCCCCCGCGGCTCCTTCCAGCGGCCCCCGCACACCTGGGGGGGACAGGGACACACCTGGTCAGGTGACACACCTGGGGACACCCCCAGGGGACACCCGGGGACACCTGGGGACACCTGCTCAGGCTCCGTGCAGCCCCCGCGGCTCCTTCCAGCAGCCCCTGCACACCTGGGGACACACCTGGTCAGGTGACACACCTGGGGACACCTGGGGACACCTGGGGACACCCGGGGACCCACCCAGGGGACACCCGGGGACACCCGGGGACCCATCCTGGGACAGGTGCCCAGGCCCCGTGCAGCCCCCGCGGCTCCTTCCAGGAGCCCCTGCACACCTGGGGACACACCTGGTCAGGTGACACACCTGGGGACACCTGGGGACCCACCCAGGGGACACCTGGGACCCCCCCCGGGACACCTGGGGACCCACCCTGGGAAACCTGGTCAGGTGAAACACAGCTGGGGACACCTGGGACACACCTGGGGACACTTGGTCAGGTGTGGGGACACCTGTCAGGTGTCCCCCAGGCCACTCAGGTGTCCCCAGTGTCCCCATGTCTCACCTGGCAGGTGTCCCCCAGGTCGCTCAGGTGCCCCCAGTGTCCCTGTCTCACCTGCCAGGTGTCCCCGATGTCCCCGATGTCCCCGGTGTCCCCGGTGTCCCTGTCTCACCTGCCAGCTGTCCCCGATGTCCCCGATGTCCCTGTCTCACCTGCCAGCTGTCTCCCATGTCCCCGGTGTCCCTGTCTCACCTGCCAGCTGTCCCCGATGTCCCCGATGTCCCCGATGTCCCTGGTGTCCCCGTCTCACCTGCCAGCTGTCCCCGATGTCCCCGGTGTCCCTGTCTCACCTGCCAGCTGTCCCCGATGTCCCCAATGTCCCCGATGTCCCCGATGTCCCCGATGTCCCCGGTGTCCCTGTCTCACCTGCCAGGTGTCCCCGATGTCCCCGATGTCCCTGTCTCACCTGCCAGCTGTCCCCGATGTCCCCGATGTCCCTCAGGGCCAGCTCCTGCAGCTCCTCCTGCAGCCGAACCACGCTGGACTCGTCCGGCAGCAGCGGCTGACGCTGGGGACAGGGACAGGGACAGGGACAGGGTGACACAGGGACAGGGACAGGGACAGGGGGGTTTTACCCTGGAACTCTCCCTGTCCCCAAGGTCCCTCCCTGTCCCCAAGGCCACCCATGGGACCCTCCCTGTCCCCAAGGTCCCTGTCTGTCCCCAAGGCCCCTGCCACCCCAGTGCCACCCCGGTGCCACCCCGGTGTCCCCTCAGTGTCACCTTCTCCATGTCCAGGACCTTGTCCTGCATCTCCTTGAGGGCCCCCAGGGTTTCGCTCTCGCGCAGCCGCGACCGCTCCAGCTCCGTCTCCAGGTGCGCCACGAACTCCTCGCTCAGGCGGGGGTTACCCTGTCCCCAAGTGTCCCCAAGTGTCCCCAAAGGTCACCAAATGTCACCAACCGCCACGAGCTCCTCACTCAGACGGGGGTTACCCTGTCCCCAATGTCCCCAAATGTCACCAAGTGTCATCAAGTGTCACCAAAGGTCACCTCCCACCAGCCATGGAGCTCCTCTGAGAGATGGGAGTTACCAAATGTCCCCAAGTGTCACCAAATGTCCCCAATGTCCCCAAATGTCACCAAGTGTCCCCAAAGGTCACCAACCAACCGCTCAGACAGGGGTTACCCTGTCCCCAATGTCCCCAAATGTCCCCAAGTGTCACCAATGTCCCCAAAGGTCACCTCCCCATCATCCCCACCTGCCACGAAATCCTCGTTCAAGCGGGAGTTACCTGTGCCACCAAATGTCACCAAATGCCACCAAATGGCACCAAATGTCACCTGCAGCCTCGTCACTCAAGCAGTGACACAGAGACACAATGACACACACAGGTGACAATGACACACAGGGGACACGGGTGACACAGTGACACAGGGACACACTCAGGTGACACAGGTGACAATGACACACAGGGGACACGGGTGACACAGTGACACAGGGACACACTCAGGTGACACAGGTGACAATGACACACAGGGGACACGGGTGACACAGTGACACAGGGACACACTCAGGTGACACAGGTGACAATGACACACACTCAGGTGACACAGGAGGTGACACAGTGACACCTGGCCCTGGGGACACAGGGACACTGGGGACAGTGCCACCTCCTGCGCCCGCGTCACCTGGCCCTGGGGACACGGGGACATCAGGGACATTGGGGACAGTGTCACCTCCTAGGCCTGTGGCAACTTTTCCTTGGGGACATTCATGACTTTGGTGACACTGGGGACATTGGGGACACTGGGGACATTGGGGACACTGGGGGCATTGGGGACACTGGGGACACTGCCACCTCCAGCCCCCAGGGCAGAGCCAGCGCGGCTGTGGTGGCACTGGGGGGACAGGAGGTGACACTGGAGGTGACACCAGGGACAGGGAGGTGACACCAGGGACAGAAGGTGACACTGGAGGTGCCACCAGCCCTGGGAGGTGACACAGGGCCAGGGAGGTGACACTGGAGGTGCCACCAGGGA